ATCGCAGCCGACCAGACCCTCTACTTACTGGACCCAGGCACCCCATCACTGCCCTCTCCAAGCTCCCAACCTCCAACTCACAAAACACCCAGTGAATAAAATTATTTCTCCTGTTCTCCAGTGGTTTCCCACCCCTGAGTCAAATGCTCTGAACAAAGAGAAACCTAGCTACCATTTTGCCACCCACACTGCCTTGTCTAGCTACATCACCCAGTTCCAAGTCTTTTAACTTCTTCTGGCTTCTTCTGCAGCAGCTCCTTGCGGAGAGCTTTCTTGAAGTGCCCTTGTCCTCAGCATCCATGAAGTCACTCCACTGGGATTCTCCCTCTGCCCCTGGCTGCTCTTGACACCTTTTCTCCCCCTCCACAGTGACCTCGCCCCTTCCTCCACGTCAGTTCCCTCCAGGCACCTGAGGCTCTCTGACTCCAGCCAAAACCTCTCCCCAAAGCCTGAAATGCACAGGTGTCTAGGTAACACCCCTGATGGTCAGTAACACCTGGGACTTGAAGGTTGTCAGGAAGATCTGATGCAAGGCACGTGGAGTTTTCCAGCACGCTGCCTGGCCTAGTAGATGCCTAGTAAATGGTAGCTATTATTATTATTATTATTATTATTATTATTATTATTTGCAATTTTGACTTTAAAATGAGCACCACGTCAATAGGCAGAAATATGAATTTGAAAAGACCAGACAAAACACTCACCCCGGGATTGAAGGTCTTTCCTCAGCCTCTGAGGTGAGTGGATTGAAAAACTTATGCGGAACTCCAAGGCCAGCCAGGCTAGGAACCAGTAATTTCTAAGTTCTCTAATTAATTAATTAGCGTTTCAGCGATTACTCCTGTTGACAACCTTGGTGGCTCTCGACAAGGTTGGGTCAGCTCAAGCAAGTCCAGACGTATTGTGGCAAGTGCCACTTGCTTCCAGGGCGTGAGACATGATCCCCATACGGCAGAAGCAGCATCTCGTTAGAGAATTAATTGGGAGGATGAGTCGGGGGAAACAAGGTCCTCGCAGCCAAATGGCCGATGGCCTTGGTGCTATCAAAACACCCCACAATGCCCAGGCCCACCTGCATCTTCCTGGGGTTGATGCAGGTGAGGAGGGGGCTCCGAAATCACTCCCCACCTGCTTTTCCCAGGGGACAGCCTAATGAGGCAATGACTATCTTGTCCCCAATCTAAAGAAAGAAGCCTGGCTTGCAATGAGAAGGACTTTGGTTAGATACCCAGGAGAACTATGCCTGTCTGAGGCAGGACCGGGGAAGAGAGGAGCCTGTACTTGGTTGGACACGGAACCTATGTGAGGCCAGGGCTGCTCATTAGATGGCTTCCTGCCATCGCTCCATCATCTGACCCGGAGCACAGCCGCCAGAGACCCACAGCACTCCTCGACGCTGCCCCACCGCAGGGCACCCCAGCTCCACGTCTCTCCATTCCCCGCACCTTGGCAGGTCAGGTGGCTGGGTGAGGAAAGACAATCCCACAGAACGAGCAGGTGCGGCATTTCCCGGGAGCTCTGGGCTGGGAGTGGCCGCTGGGGTTTCTTCGCATATCGGCGCCTGGCTTCTGACTTTCAGCTGGTCCCTGGGATGCTCTGGGCATCCATTTCCGCAGCAGAGCCAGCAGGGCAGTAAACTGGATGACCTTTAAAGTCCTTCCTTTCAACAGGGATGGTCTAGGGTTCTGTACTTGGGGTTCCTCGGCCATGGGTCCCTCTCCTATGCAGACAGGCAGAGCCAGCCATGAGAGCTGCTCGAAGCTTCTTAATACAGTGGTGCCTCCAAGCACACAGGGCACTCGGCCCTCATCTAGAATCACAGCCTCAGCGAGCCTGTACAGAGATGCAGTGGCTTCAGGGGGCACCAGGTCTAGCCCTTCCAGGAGGCAAATGCCAGGACCACAGAGAAGTGCCCTCCCTCCCATCTTTGGAGCTTCCAGAAAACCTGGAACCCCGGGCTCCGCCCTGACCATCAAGTAATACCTGTGTAGATTTTGCGGGGTGTGGGAAAGAGGGCAGGGGGGGTGTTCCTGGCTTCATGACGAGGCTGGGCCTTGTGGGCGTGAGGGTACTGCTGGCGCAGGTCACACACCAGGCTCCCCACCGCGGTGTGGCTTGGCCCCCAAGACGGGAGCCCCATCCCATCATAGCTCCCTCTTAAAATTCAGGGGCTCAGTGAAGAGAAGCAACTCCAGGCCTCACCCCCTAGTACTGCAAGGCCTAGAGGCTGGGTCACCAACTGCCACTGTAAGACCCTGGGTCTCCAGTCCTCACAGCCCCAGGTCCAACACCGCAGACCCTGTATTTTTCGCCTTCCTCAACTTCCCTCTGGGAACCGGTACCCCTCCCACCATTTCTTGAGGGTAGAGCAGGGTCAGGTTGCAATCGCAAATTTGGAAGTGGCCACCTCCAGCCAGAGCCTCCACCTGCGCATGAAGTCGGTGAATGCAAATACTAAGTTCACACTCTGACCCCTGGGTCTGCCTCTCCATCACAACCTGCTTTCCCATCAGCTTGCTTGCCCATCTTCACCTCCAGCTGAGATTCCAGGGTCCACTGCTTCTCCTGACCTGTTACCGACCTCCCAAAGGCCCCACCCGGTGGGACAAAACTCTCTGAGTGAGCCCGGTGGCCCTGTCTGGAGCCCGCCCCCAGCACCTCTGGGCGGAGAGGCCCTGCCCACAGCCGTAGGCCTGTGCCCTCCCTCAGCTTTCCCGTCTGCTGGCCCCTGCACAGCCCGTCAGGCTCCCTGACTTCCCGGGTCAGCTGTCTCTCTTCCACTCACCCCTCGGAATGTCTAGAACCTTCTCCATAGCCCTCAAATCTCTCACCTTCCTTCCCCACCCTCTAGCTCAGTCACGAGAATACAGACCAGAAGCTATCAGAACCGCTTCCTTCAACCCTCCACTGGAGCCCCATCCCCAGCTGCACCCGCCCCCCCTTCTGAAGCAGGGAGGGCTTTCTCTCTGCCAAAGGGGGTCCCTGGAACCCCAGCCCTGCTCCGAGGACTCTGCTGCCCCACCTCCTAATCTCCTGTCTTGGTCCCTTCCTCTCCCATCACACAAGTGCCACTTGCTCCTGTTTCAAAAGGGGGGAAATATCTATGAGTCTGCTTCTATTTTGTTTATTTTGTTCATTAGAGTTCACATATACGTGAAATTGTATGGCAGTTGTCTTTCTCTGACTGGCTTACTTTACTGAGCATAATACTCTTTGGGTCCATCCAGGCTATAATGCAAAAGGTAAAATTTCCTTTTTTACAGCTGAGTAGTATTCCACTGTGTAAACGTACCACAGCTTTTTCATTCTCTCATCTATTGATGGGCACCTGGGCTGCTTCCAAATCTTGGCTGTTGTAAATAATGCTGCGATGAACATAAGGGCGCTCGCGGACATGGACAGCGGTGTGGTGATTACAGAGGGAAAGCGGAGTGTGGGGGCAGAAGGGGGCATGCGGGCGATACATGGTGATGGAAGGAGACATCACTTGAGAGATTCCAGGGACCCCCTTTGGCAGAGAGAAAGCCCTCCCTGCTTCAGAAGGGGGAGGCGGGTGCAGCTGGGGATGGGGCTCCAGTGGAGGGTTGAAGGAAGCGGTTCTGATAGCTTCTGGTCTGTAGTCTCGTGACTGAGCTAGAGGGTGGGGGGAGGGAAGGTGAACACACAATACAATACGCAGATGTATTATAGAACTGTACACCTGAATCTCATACAAACTCATGTTATCCAATATCATCCCAATAAATTCAATTAAAAAATTAAAAAAATAATAATGGGAACACAAAAGCCTCTCCCGACCCTCACCTTGCTCCAGCTGCAGGTCTGCTTCTCCCCTCCCCCTCGGCATCAGTGCTGCACCCTCCCACCCTGGTCCCACGCCCACCGGCTGCGCCTGCCCTGGGGACAGGGTTTGCCTTCACCATGGGACACACCTCCCCTCTCAGGAGCGTCTGCCTCTGATTGGCTCACCACCCCGAACCCACCTGGCTTTGTCCTCATCTCCCTGGTCACTGGTCCTTAGGCACTGCCTGCTCCCCAGGACCTGTGTCCTCCCCAGGCTTGCTGGCTGACCCCACCCGCTGCTCCTGATCCCATTACTGATTTTTACGGTGGTGGCCCTGGTTCTGTCTCCCAGACCCAGAGCCAACTCCCCCTCAGGCTCTTCAAACCCCACACATCCATCCGACTCACCACACTGTCCTCCCCCAGACCGGCCCCGCCCCGTGCCTCCAGCCCAGCACGTAGAACCTACATCTGCCTCGCTGGTAAAATCCAGAAAGCCGGGCGTACATCCTGCAGCCCCCTTCCCCTCCCGTCACATGCAGTACATCCATTCTCGTGAAGCTTCCTCCTCACTCTGCCCGAAAGGACCCACTTCTCTTGATGCTCACTGCCAACAGCCTGGTCCAAGCCGCCATCGTCTCTCGCTGGACGCCCGCCACAGCCTCCTGATGGCTGCTTCTCCTCTGGAGCTCCAACCCAGCCTCACAATGCAGCCATGGGGATCGTTCAAAACCAGGAATCTGTGGTCCTGCTTTGCACAGCCCTTCTGATGACAATGACCTCTCTGCTTTGGCTCCTAAGTTCCCGGCGTCAGCTGAGCTCAGGCCCCCTTTACCTGACCCACGTCATCTCGCCCCACTCTGCTGAGATGCAGACCCTCCTCAGCTCCGGGAGATGCTGCCCCACCTCGGTACCTTCACCCCAGGTGACCTCAGCTTATGTGTCCTCCGGGCCCCAGGAAATGCCACTTCCCCCTAGGCTCACCTCCCACATTCAGCTGAGTCGGTCCCATCCTAATACTCCCCATCCTCCATGTTCTATTGCTTCATTGTTTTGTTCACTGCCTCACCCTCAGCTCTGAGAGGTCAGTCTCATTCATGGTTCTAACCCCAGTGCCCGGCCCAGAGCTCAAGAGTCAGCACCGAATAAGTACATACTAATTAACAGCCTAAGGGCATCCTCCTTGTCCTGCCCTTTTAGCCCCTCCCCTCACTGACCTCTGACATCTGTGGGAAGAGGCTGATGGCCAGAGGCAGGGCCAGGCCGAAGGCTGCCAGGCACACGAGACTTTGCACAGGGAGGAGCAGCCGGGGGCGCGCCTGCAGGAGAGCGGTCCTGTGGGCGAGAGAGAAGGAGGCAGCCCCATGAGCCCCGGAGGCAGCACGAGCAGGCCACTAGTCACCACACTGGGTCCCAGGACAGCATGGTTCTGGGCCAGTGCCAGCCCACAGCTCAACAGCTGTGGTGGAATTCTGTCTTTGGGTCTTCTCCAGGTGGCACCCTGTCCCGCAGGCCCTGCCCTAAAGGACACTGCTGGTTGAACTCTCATCCATAAATCATAAGGAGCACGTGTGGGGGGCCCCTCCCATACCCTACCGTGTGTCCAGCCCTGTACATAAAAGGCCACATATTGGGGGGATGACGGAGGAGGCTGTCAGCCCCTGCTCCTGGGGATGCGCAGGACAGTAGGTTCACCTTTGAAGGTAGCACATGATGAAACAGCAAACGAGTCAGAGTATGTGCCAAGTCCAAGGGAGGAAACAAACCACACACACACACACAGGTGCATACATGTGCACACGTGCATGTACATATATGCATACCCATACACAAACATGTGAACACACACACAGCCAGGAGGGGATAACCCTCTTCTGTGTGTGGACACAGAACATCCCCCACTGACCACTTCACTGACTTCAATCCTAGAGCCACACAGAGCGGCAGTGACTTGCCCAAGGCCACGGCTGAGTCCGTGGGTGGCCAGCAGGGCTGCTGCCTGGACTCCTGACTCCCTGTGAGTACTGTCACCCTGTGCTGCTTCTGGCTCCAGCCTTCAGGACCCTTTGCCATCTCTGTCACTAGCATGTCACAGCAGGCACCCACTCTCCATGACAAGTTTCAGAGACAGGATTCCTGGGCAGGACAGGGGTACTGAAAGCTCCCTCCAGGCCCTGGGTGCCCCAGCTCCGAGACAAAGAGGGCGTGCCAGCCAGGGCAGGGGCCACGCCGGCTGGCAGACGCACCTTCAAAGACTGCACTGCCCATCAAAGCCATAGGCTTTTGTACAATCCAGTAGGCCCTTTAGCGAAGACCACTGAGCACTGGACTGGGGGAGGTCTAGGGTGGGCTGCACCCACGGGATGGATGACTGGACGACTTGCCAGGGGATGCTGGGCAGTCACTAAATCCGACCTCTGTTACTGTGTCAGCTTCCACGGGACTGTGGCTGGCTTCTGGCACAACCTGGGGAGAGCTGGGGCTCTCGCCTGGGCCCCACAGGAGCAGGGCTGCCCGTGGCTGCAGGCAGGGGAGAGGCCTTCCCGGGGCGGGGCTTCAGTGCGGGGTGCGGGGCAGGCAGACCACACACTATCCTCACACCCTGGGACAAGAGTCCCAGGGGCGCCTGGCCTTGAGCATGTGGCCAATAGGGAGCAGCAGTTCTCAAGCTCAGTGTTTAGGCAGCTGGTTAAAAATGCAGACTCCCAAGGGTCCCTTCCTCAAGAGATCCTGATTCCGTGGAGACAGCCCTGGGAACCTACCTGCACTTCAAACAGCCCTTCCAGAGTCTAAAACCACACTTCTGAGAAATCTTGGCCCAGGTGTTCCTGCTAAGGCATCAATATGATCCAATTACTTATAAAATCTATGCAAGTAAAAGGCCTTGACATAGTAAGTGTCCAGTAATTGTGCATTATTATTGCCCTTATAACGTGCAGAAAGAGGGAGGACCCTGGTGGCTGGGCTGTCCTCCAGCCCTTCCCACTGGCCCAAGACCCCAATGTCTGTTCAGCTGTTGAATTAAGCCTGAACTGAGTTGTTGGAGAGGAAGGTGTCCACAACAAAGCTTCAGGACAAGGGTGCCCGACAGGCTCAAGCCCTCCAACATGCCCTTGGCCTTGGTCCAGTGGCCCCATCCTCTCCCTCTCTTCCAGGCAAGTCTCACACCATCCATGGACTCAGCTCAAGGCCTCCTTGGCCTCCGTGGAAGTCATGGAGGGGCCAGGAAAAAGGCTGAGATGGACCCTGAGACCTTCATAATGAGGATCAACTTCTGCAGCAGGACAAAGAGACAGGAAACAGGACTCACTCTCGAGACTTGCACACAGGGCTGGAGCCCTGGCCCTCAAGAAGCTTTGGAAGGCAGCGGCCCTCCTGTCCCAGTGGCAGTGAGCAGGACCTCAGTCCCTGAGGGGGATTAGAGCAGGGGGAATGAGGCAGGAAGGTGAAGTCTCTGGAAGCACAGCCCCAAGGGCAAGCAAGGTGACAGGGAGAAAGTGGCTGGCAGGTGAGGGGCAGGCCATGAACTCAGTTTTGGGGACTCCTGGCACCAACACCAGACAGACCCCTTCCATGTGGGGCTGTAACCTTGGCTCCTCTCTCAGGGTGGCTGGTAGAAGTCCCCACTGGGAAGGGGGTCCAGAAAGTCCCAGGACTGTGCTTCTGATTTAGGGAAGAGGCAGGCCTGAGACTGCGGGCAAACAGGGGCCTTTCAGTCCCAGCCCAGAGGAGTAGGAGAGCCAACACAGCAGGCCAGGGGGAGGGGAGGAAAGGGAGATGGCAGAGAGGGATTGGAAAGGCAGCTGGGAGAGTTAAAATATGCAGATGGAGAGATGTGCAAATGACTGGGAGAAAGGAAAGACCCGGATCCCAAGGAATGAGGGAGGCAGGAGTGGCCTCCGGAACCACCATGGAGGGTGTGGTCTGAACCGCAGACCCAGCTGAAACCCAGGCCGAGGGTGGGGAGGAGGGTGAGCTCCAGGGCCTGGGCGAGAGAGCCGCTGCACTTGCCTCGGAGTTGGGGAGGTTATGGGGCCGGGGGCTGATCTCCGAGCCTGGGGTCTGAAACTAGCTTCCTCCTCAGCACAGTGAAGCGGTGCAGGGTGAGAGGATGTGTGTTGGGGCTCAGAGGGAGGCTGGGGGCCCAGGCTCCTCTGCTTCTGACTTCAGACCCTTTTCCTTTCAGGTGTCTCAGAGACACCTGAATGTGCCGGGGCCCACCGCTCTTATCCCACAGGAAGCCCAGGGTCATTGTCTCGGAGGGTCCTCACAGAGGTAAACTGAGGCCAGGGGTGCGGCAAGCTGGTCCCAGCCCCCCACACAACAGCTTGTCTCCCCACTGCTGTGCGTTCCCTCAGCGCTTGGAGCAGTTTGAGTTTGCGCTCCATTAATTTGCAAGTAGGCTGCTTTGTAAGTGTTCTTTTGTCTTTTTCCCTGGCTGTCCTGACTCTCTCTCACCCAACCCGGCTCAGAGGGTGGGGCTGCCTCCCCCACCAGGCCCTTCAGCAGAGGCCCGGCCACTGGTAGCCCTGCGTGGAAAGGCTCTGGGGTGCTTGGTGGAGCCCCTGCGAGGACCCAAGGGCCTGCTGGATGCAAAGCCGGAGGGAACAACGTGGAGAAGCGGGCAGAGTCATCCCTCTCCACGTGGGAAACTAAGGCTGAGGGAGTCCCCGACCAGCTTGGCCCAAAAGTGGTGGAGCAAGAACCGGATTTCGTTTTCCTACCAGGAGTCTCAGCTAGTGCTGCTACACTGGACCACCCACCGCTAGTCTTGCCGCACCCCCTCATACATCTGTGAATGAGCAAGTCTCTGAGGGCACATACTGGGTCTTTTTCATGTTGCTGTCCTGGGCTGGACTCTTTCTCCTTCCCAGGGACCCTCAAGAGGCTGCATAGAAGGACCAAGCAAGTACAAAGGCAACCGGTCTCTACATGCCCAAGGGTCTTCTTTGGACTTGAGCTGAACCAGACTCATAGTGACCAGACTCTGTGCAGATCCCAGGCCAGGGGGGTTCAGAAGCAGAACCATCCCACCCCACCTCCATGCCTTTCAAAGCCAAGTTTGAAAAATGGGAGCTCCACTTTATGCAAACCCCACTCAGATGCCAACCAGGAAGGCACCACAGGTTACGTTTGTTCCCTGCAAACTCCAGGCTCCGGACTCAGCAGCCTAGGAGTCAGAAGCCCTACCTTCCTCACCTGTCTTACGGTGTCCTTTGTGTGTACTTGCAGTGGCTTTTATTTGGGGACAGCCTCAAATCACGAGGCAGCTATGCATTCAAGCATCTGGAGCACAAAAGCAATTGCTCTCCCAGGATCTGTTTAGTTTTGCAACTTCCATACAAGACTAACTTTCTTATATCCCAGTGTTCACCACACCATGCCCCCGCTCAGGTACCCCCACACCTCCTGCCTCTTTTAAGCTGAGGGAGGGATCATCCCCTCTGCTGGACAGAGGACCCTCATCAGCCAGCCCCAGTGAGTGCACTCGGCTTCTGTCCGACTGGACTCCTTGATGCCTACACAATGGTGCACACATGCCCAGAAATCACCCCCTTCTGCCAAAATCCCATCTCGTTCTCATAGTCACTCGCAGCCTTGCTGTGGGCCCATAATGCTCCCTTCCCTCAAGGTCACCTTGGTCCTGTGCGTGCTCCACCTCACCCCACCTGCAGCTGACCTGTGCACGTCACACCCATCTCCCTTATCATAATACAGGCTTTCTGAGGTCAGGCCCCCAACTCCACCCTTCCCCAGTCTCCTGCAGGGCAGGACCCCAGGCACACTGATTAGGTGGTGTGACCTGAAGACCTAAGGGGCAGCCAGCTTGGGAGGAAGAGTACAGCTTTGCAGCCATATTCCTGGGCCACTCCCGGCTCTGCCCTTACCTAGCATATGACTGTAAGCAGATGATAAAGCCTTTGCCTTTCTTTCCTCATCTGTAAAATCAGATACCATGTTTACCTCATTGCACTGTTGTGAGAGGTAACGGATTCATTTCATTCATTCATTCAACAAACAGTGAGGCGGTGAGGAAAGGCGGTGAGGCAGTTTTGTTTTCAACAAAACCAAGGCGGTGAGGCGAGAGGGGTGCCTCTTACCTCCATGGGGCGGTCAGGGAGGGCCTCTTTGAGGTGGAAGTTGGGCAGAGGCCGGGCTGAGGTGTGGTCAAGTGCTTGATTAATATTAGCTGTTATCATAATTCGCATTGTGGGGATAAAACTGAGGGTCTCCAAACTGAGAACACCCTGCTCCAGAACCCCAGATGGAGTGCCCCCAACTCCGTCCTTAACCTCAATGCTCCCGAGCCCAAACGTGGCTTGAGGGAGGGCCCCCCTCCCAGGCCGGGCCCCCAGAATGGAGACAGGAATCACCTCCGCATTTTAACCTGCACCTTCAGGCTTCTCTTCCTCTTGTTGCCCCACCCAGACCCTCCCTCCCCTCCCTCCAGGGTCGCCCTGATGCTCAGGGCCTGCCCATCGCAGGTGAGGACGGCCAGCCCTCCTCCCTCCCTGCGAAGCTTCTCCTTCTAGCAACGCTTCAGTCTGCATGACCTGTCTTCACACTCACTAATTAATAGAATCACTCTTTGTTTTTATGATTGTGTTCCCTTATTTCTTCACCGTCATGACAAGTACGTGTTCTCAGAACGTTCACTGAGGGAAGTAGGGAGGTTGGTGCTCTCCATGGCTTGCAAATGGAGAAACTGAGGCTCGGTGAGGCAGTGACTTGCCTCATGGCAGATGCCCGGAAGGGGTGGTGCTGGCTGCAAACTCAGTCCTCCTCCCACAGCCCCGGACTCTCTTCACGACTGGTCCCGCACTGCACACCAACAGAGCATGCACGCACATATACACACTTGCGTGCACACACGGCACACAGCACCACCCCCACCCACCCCGAATCTCCAGTTCCTCAGAGGAGGGCCAGCCTTCCCAGCACCCAGCACAGGGTTCTGCCCAGCAAAGTTGTTAAGTTCTCACAGATTCCAGCAGTATTGCTTGGGAGAGGCGGAACCAACCTGGCAGGCTGCCGGCTGCCCCCCATCCCTTGCCCCGGGCCAGCTGGTCCCCTCCCCTCTGCCCTCCTCCCCAGCGGCGGCCCCACTGTCCTGCATGCCCGGACTCACTTCTCCAGCATGGACATGACGATCGGAGGGAGCACCAGGATGGGCATCGGGAGGACCACTCTCGTCAGGGCCGTCTCCAGCAGAGCCTGAGGGGTAAGTGGGGGGGGGCTGCGGTGAGCGGGGGCTCCCAGGCTAGGGGACTGCCACCTGGCAGCAAATCCCACCCCAGAGCCCCTAGGTGAGCCTATCACTGCTAAGCACATCTGGCTGAGGGGAATCATTCATGGAACGGCTCACAGAGCCGCATTCCAAACAATGCAGAAGAGTCACCCCCTTCTTCTCACTGCACACACGTTGGAAGAGCAGAGCCCCGTCATCTGCCACGGGTAGAAGAGGGGTGGCAACAGAATTGGCCCCAGGAAGGGGCCTGTGTCCAGAGACGCGCCCGGGTGGGTGGCGGGTGGAGAACCTGAGGGTCTCCGTGAACAAAGCAGGCACTGGAAAGAGCAGGCAAACGGCTGGGCCGGCTGAGCCCAGAGAGCCTCTGGTGCTGAGGGAAGACGGAGATTCCGGGGTTCATTTTTTTTTGGACATCCCTTAAAGACAAAGATTCTAAAGACCTTGCAGCTCGTGGCTCTGGATGAGTATTTCTTAGAGACCAGAGGTTGGCTTTGTAAGGGGGAGAGGTTTCTGCTGAGGGTCTGCTCAGGCTCCGCGCGGGATCTGCCTGGAGCCTGGAGCTGGGGACTCCTGGGGTTCCTGGGCAGGGGAGCACGTCAGGACACAGCTCAGTGACAGGTCTGCACTCTGATGGTCGTCACGGGGAGTTCCTTTAGCCCCACTGGCTCCCAGCATAGCCCCAGATCCCTGGGTCTTCCCTTAGATAGCCAGGGGCTGGGGGAGCCAGGCTGAAGAATACCCAGGGCTGCTGAAGGGCTTCGGCCGCCCTGCCATCTGGACCACAAGGAGGAGCTAACACCACCCGCCTTCCTCAGGGCGAGTCGAGAAAGAGCACAGGTTGGTATCAGGTAGGAAACTGAGGCCAAATCCCTTCTGAGGATGAGCTCAGGACTGAAAATTTCTCCCAGGAACTTGGGTCTTTCATAATCAGCCTCAGAACAGCCTGGGAGAGAGTCCCTCCCTCCAGTCTCCCCAACAGGTGTGGGAATGATGGGACCCCCGAACCAGCCTGCAGGAAGCAGAGGACACAGTGTCAGCAATGGCAACCCAAGCTCCCGCCCCTTGAGGGCTGGGACGAGAGAGGGATCTTCCCACACGGGAGGCTTATGGAGAAGCCTCACTGACAGAGCCGAGGAGGCTCGGGCCCCCAGTGGGCGCTCAGGGGCACAGTGCCTGGAGCAGAGGGAAAGGCTCTGCTGCCTCACAGCTGAACTCCTGTCCTAGCACTTGGAAGCCAGAGCAGGAAGAGCCACCAGTCACCATTAGGAAGAAGGCCGAAAAGCACAGGGAGATGCACACACACACTGGAATTAAAAAAACAAAATTACAATTGCTGAAGTGGGTGCAGCGGCTGAAACCAGAGGTGAAAAGGGGCCTTCCTGTGAGAGAATGCTCTTCCCCAACCACTCCTGGAGCCTGAAATCCCCACACCTTAGCTACACTCACACCCTAGTCAGGTGTCAACTGCAGAAGTGCTTCTTAGCACAGAGCCACAGAGCACCCTTCCTACACTTCCTCTTCTTCCCCAAGAGGACGTGAAGGCCCAGGGGGCAGGGTCCTAGGTCCTCCGAGGGAAGAGAGACTTCTGGGGCTTTATTCTGTCCTTGCCAATTAGCAGATCAGAGAAGCTGGTTCCTGAGGGGCTAGGACAAGTGATGCGGACATTTCACAGTGGTAAGGAAAGGGCATTTGGAGAGAAACAGGGATATTCGGGGGACAGGCACGGCTGGGACACACACACACACACACACACACACACACACACACACACACGGCAGGTGGGGGCGGGGTGAGGAGGAGGGCTTAAGAGGACAAAGTGAGGGCACTTCGGACAACAGCCCTTGAGAAATGAACCATTTAGGTGAAACCACCAGCCTCCCAGTCCCTGCCCACCGCCACCCCCCCCAGCCCTGGGAGGACCCACGTGTCTGGCTGCAATCTTGGAGGAGCCCACAAGGTTGCCGTCACCATCCAGGACATCGATCCCTTCTTCCAGCTCCCCGTACCGCATCAGGACCACGTTGCAGATATTGGCACTGGCTGGAGAGAGAGAGGGGGGCAGGAGTGAAGGGGGATGGCATTCTACCTGGTGGAGACCACTGGGCTCCACCCTCATCCGAGCCTCTGTAGCCGAAGCAGCAACGTTTTGAATAGAGGCCAAGTTTGTGTTCAAACACAGTGGGCAAAAGTGTAGACGTGGTTCCTGTTGGCCTGGTGAGGGGTTTGGGGGCCTGTGGTGAGCAAAGGTGGAAAATAACCAGTGTTATGGAGGAACAGGAAATGGTTCAGGGCTTGGAGAGCGATCACTTATCAAGGAGGCTGGCTCCCCCAGGCAGACCAAATGGATGCCCGTCTGGGGAGGCTCTCCAGCCTGAGGGCACAGCCCCCACTGGTGCCTGATGCTCCACCATCAGCAACTCGGTCCCTTGGACCACCTTTCTGGGCATCCTCTTGAAATGCCAGCCCCCGACATTCAGCCCCTTGCTCTTCAGAGTGAATCAAGTTCCCAGAGATCTGCTTCCTGACAGCAGGCAGGAACCTCAGTGCTCACCCAGCACCGCCCCCTCATCATATGGATGGAAAATTGTGTGTGTGTGGGGGGGCATTTATCTGAGGTCACAAAGCAAAGTGGGGCACAGCTGAAAGGCCACGGAGCCTGATCCTCTGGATACCCAGGAGATGGGGAAGAGCAGGTGGGGTCAGGCAAAGCCACGGGAGTATCTTCCACATTCTTGCTTCACATGGTTGGTTTCTTCCTTTGGCCATGCCCACCCATCTGAGCTGAGATCATGGGGATCTGGGCTGAGGGGAGCACAGTTCCTGGCTCCTTAGTGAAGCACTGGATGCCAGAGTCTGGGGGCCATGCATCAGCTGGTGAGTAGCACAGGAGCCTCTTCCGGCTCCTCTCACCGGGACTCACCTGGCTGGGCCTGGGCTCTAAGCTGGGTGTGGGCACTGACCTCACCTGAACTCCTGCAACCCCGCTCCAGAATGGAAGTGGGGGAACTCGGAGGCGGTGGGTGGGTGGGGAGTAGGGGGTGACAAATGCGGAGCCCGCCTGCTTCACTCCTCCCCACCAAGCGCCTTGCTGTGTTTAAAGTTTTAATTTTTGCTAATTAATGTCAATTAATTTTGTATAATGAGTGTTTAATTTTGGGGAGTGTGTGAGCCTGGGAGCGACTGCAGTTCTGGGCTGTGAACGCTGATTAGCATCAACACCTGCTGCTTCCCCACTCCCTCCAGTGGGGGGGGCGCCAGGGTTTGGGGAGCCGGAGGGCGGTGGGGCCTGGTGGGCAGGTGGAGTGGGAGGAGGGCTGCAGATGCTCCTGGTGCCTGAGCCGATGCTGGGGGGCCCAGGGGTCCAGGGTGCTCGCAGCTGCAGGTCAGGGTCCTGCAGGTAAGGGGTGGTGGAGACCCGGGGGTCTTTGAGCCTCAGCCTCCTTTTTCAATAAAGTGGGAGGTGGGGTAAACAGAGGGGAAGGCTGCGAGGCTCTGCAGTCTCTAGAGAGAGAAGCAGCAGACCACATAGTTTTTAAATGTATTTACAGCACATATGCCATCTTTGAGCAGTTCTCGTGTTTCCACAAGACACAGCCGCAGCGGTAACTGTGGGCAGGCCTCCCCTGCGTCGGGCCGCTCCCGTCCACACAGCAGGCACGCACACCTGTCTCACCCAGGGGCTCTCAACCAGGGGTGATTTTGTGAGACATCTGGCAACATTTGGAGACATTTTTGATTACCATGATCTGGTGTGGGGGGCTGCTATAGACTTCTAGTGCTTAGAGATACTTCTAAACATCCTACAATGCACAGGACAGCCCCCATAACAAAGAATGGTCCAGCTCAAAACGTCGGCTGTGCTGATGCTGAAAAACACTGTGCAACACACATCTAGAGACTGGCAGCATTAAGAAAGTGACTCTGAAGTCAAGGAAGAGAGGTTGGGAGCCCCAGTTTTGGGCTAGCTGGGCTTGCGTTCTAATCCTGGCACAGAATCTCCCGCTCCGCACCCTCAGAGGTGAGCTCCTGCCCCAGCACAACCCCCCTTGACCCAGGGCTCAGGACCAGAAAGAGCCCCCACAGTGGCCTTGGGACGGAGGGCGCCTGGCCTATGTGTTAGTGACCTGCCCTTCTGTAGCCCCAGGAATTGCTCTACATCCTTTACCCTCTGGGTCTCGCTTGCTCTCCACAGTTTTCAAATATGCAATGCAGGCACACCGGGATGAAGCAGGACTTTGGTTCAAACACAAAATGACTTCATACGAAAGGTCAAGTGTGAAAAGAAGTGAAAACCCAGCCTCCCTCCCTTCAGACAGCCCCTCCAAGAATGACACTGACCAGAATGACCAAGCTGCCCTCTCACCTAAGGTGCCTGGATGGAAAAAAGACAGAGAAAACCCTAAAAGCCACCCCCAAATGATGGTGGCCCCCAGGCTCATCCCTTGGAACTCCCCCATTCTTACTGCCTACTCAAATGGCAGGTACCCTGTGATCTCTTCTGGTGACTGCATGAACTGGTTGCCCATTTATGGGGCACCTGCTGTATGCACAGGGTACTTGCCATCCTTGCCTCTGAGCAGTGAGATTGCTGGTCTGTTTCAGCCATTTCCTTTCCACGAGCTCGCCCAGAACATTCACTTCTGCGCTATTCTTTTCCAGCCTTCCCTGGTCCCTCCCAGCCCATTCCTTGCCAGTCCAGTTCCCGAGTCACGGACATGAAGAGGCCAAGCAAATGAGAGAGAAAGAGAGAGAAGGGCCGACCGCGGGCCACGCAAGCCTCTTTTCTAGCACACCAGCAAGATCTACCACTGATGGTATCAGCAGGTTAATTAAACAGTCTGTTAGGGATAATGTTAAGAAAGCTGGCACATTTTCAACTCAGATTGACACCACTCAAGACACAGGCATCACTGATGTTGGAGCAGCAACACTGGGACAGATCACGGGATGAGAGAGAGAGAGAGATGGCTTCATGCTGACGGCACGCTCAGTCAAGTCCCGGGGAAAATATGGCCTTGACTGCTGCTGATATTCTCACATCAGATCCATCGTGATGCAAAATCGTGCCAGCTGTGAACAGCCAGTGAAGTGCCCTGTGTAGAAGAGTGCTCTGCAGAAGACAGAAAGCAAATGTGCAAGAAAGTTCTCAAAAGTAAGACTACAGGAGAGCCTGCTCCCTGAACTAGCACAGACGCACAGGGATTTACAGTCCAGAGGCACACCCGGCCCGGAGGGAGAAGAGTGAAGAGATTGTATCAACGTGCAGGGAAAGGGCACTTCAAGTACAGGGGCAAAGCAATAGGCTGTTCATTTAGGGAAAATGAAACATTATGGCTCCTCTATTCTAAGATGCATTCCCTCATATTTTAATGCTTTCCAAATCACGATGTGCCTTACGGTGGGCGTGTGGGGGAGGGGGCCCCCTGCTCCCCATGGCTGCTCGTGCATGGGTGAACTCAGCCACGTGTATGGATGTTTATTCAAGTGCCACTTCAGTTGCTCACAGCAATCCACACAGAATTTGAACTTAAACTTAGATTCCTAATTGTCGCCTAGAACTTCTTTTTAAAACTTACACTATAATGGAGCACAGGCATGAAAAGTTATTGTACATGCGGAAGATCGTCTGCCAGATACCAGGCACTGCAATTAAAGGCGGCAGAAATTGCCAAACCATAGATAGCTACCCTAAAGAAATGCTTGCCCATATGTACAAAGAGACATTTACGAGGATGTTAATTATAGCGCTGTTTGTAAGAGCAAATAATTAGAAACAACCTAAATGTCCACCATTTACAGAATTTACACGGGAAGCTCTCCAAAACAAACTTATAGGAAAAGGGCTACTGAGCATGTACAGAATGGTTTACTGAATGTAAAAACCTCGTAATTGGTGTACACACATCTGTGTGCACATAAATCCACGAGTAAAGTCTCGGAAGCGACCCACCGCACGGAGTGATGTCCTTGGGGAAGAAAACCAAATTTATGAATTAGGAGTAGGGGTTGAAGGAGTTCCACTTTTTACCCTCAATTTTTCTATACTATCTGCATTTTCACAATGAGAATATAATCATGCTTTACTTGTTTAAAAATTGAAAAGAAATAGCCAAACTTCTTGAAGTAGACCATAAAACATTGAAAGCCAGCAGGAACTGGTGGGCCCTACACTTAAGCATCTGTGTCAAAAACTACCTAAAGCGGCTGATTAACTTCAGGAGTATTTTTTCCTGCAAGTAAAGAAAAAACAGTGAAACTGCCAGTGTAACCAAATAGGAACTGCAGAGAAAAAAATCCCAATACTCTTTTGTATGCTTTGAAATTGTACTGTCGATTTTAATGGGGCTGAAAGGGTCAAGGTTAGAGGTGGGGATTACAGAAAGCAATGGTGGTCGTGATACTGTCCAACAAACGTCCCCGAGAGAACTGGAAACTACGAGGAAGGCTGAGACTCAGAGTCCGTGGCGTGGAAGAAAGTGACTCGGACTGAGTGCGTAGTGAATGCTTATTTACTCCTTCAAATGACCATGCAATACAGTCCTCTTTTCTTCTGAATGGCGATTATATTAATGCCTCTCATAACAGAGGCATCTCAAGAATAGAGAAATGTGTCATTTGATATCTCTATTCATGAACTATAAGAAATGGGAAAATATACTTATTATATATAACAAACAACTACTAAGATTAATTCATGGAGGGCTATGGTGACTGACTCAACAGCTACCGCATTTTGCCGTGTATAATGCACACCTGTGTATAATGCACACCCATGTATTATGCACACCCATGTTTTTGGCCCAAACTTTCAGAAAAGAAACCTTCTGTTTTAATTTTTTTAATTCAATTTTTTCTTTATTTATATTAGGTACTTGTTTTTTGTATTATAAAAAATTAGCATTTGTTTTTGAACATATGGATATTGTTACTGCTTTCTAGAGTTACACTTTCAGTGCAGAAGCATAAATTAAAGAATTAAAAACATTTATATAGACATGGAATTAGTACTGCCCATGTACAATGTGCATCCTTATTTTTCT